ATACGGATCGATCGATCGCGAGTTAGGACGCTACGATATTATTGTAACTAATATAGAGTCTATATTATATTATTGTACAAGCATCTTTGTAATAATTAACCCGAACCGAGTAACGAGAGGTGAAATGGAAAGGGGGAGACAGAGGAGTAACGAGGCACGAATAAAGGAGTACGTAACAATGGAGAAAGATGAAGTGAGAAAAAAAGTTGAGAAAAAAAAAAAAGAAGAAAGAAAGAAGAGTGAAATAAAAAGTTAAAAAGTAAGATGAATAGAGAGAAAGAGAGAGAGAAAGAGTGTGTGTGTGTGTGTGTGTGTGAATGAAACATAAGAAAAGCCAATCGCTATTTTACCACTTTTCCAATCGCGGTAAACGTAGTTTTTACGCTGTTTGATCTTTCCTTCATTTTTTTCGTAATTGCGGATGAAGATAAACCTTTGATCCACGAGAATTCGTAACTTGAAAATTAAATTGGAAAGATAAACAATTGTGTTGGATAACTGCGATTACACGAAAAGAAAATATTGGAACTTGTAAAAGTTGTTGCTCTCTTTATGTTCGAAACAGAAAAATAAGTCTGAGTTCTGAGGTCGAATCATATTGGAATCGAATCTCTATAAGTGTAAAATTTAAAGATCCTTTTTATCTTATCTAGATCCATTTCTCTTTTTTCTTTTCTTTTATGTTTAGTAAAACAGACTATTACTACTACCCCATAAATGCAAAATTTGAATTTTCATTTTTGAACTTCGATTTGTCTTCTTTAACTTTTCGAAAATTCAAAATACAAAATGTGAATCTGATCAATTTCGTATTAATTTCAATACCATTACACGATAAGTGCAAAATTTATGTAGTTATCCAACTATACTATAAATCCTCCTCTTATTTCTATTAACATTTTTCACGTACTTTTTCAGAAGAGAAAATGCACTCCTCTAACCTAAAAGTTGTCAGAAAAACTCTCTCTGTGAAAAGAGCGGAAAGTAGTGCAATTAATGAACCGGTTATTGGTCCGCCACCCGTTATTTGTTCGCTACCCGCCTCCATTTGGCTAGAGTATGAGTTATGGCCTTGCCTATTTCACTAACTATACTTCTTTCCCCCCCCCCCACACTTTTCGCGAGGATAATTTTTCTGGCAACCTAACCTCTAGAGATAAAAGAGAAATGTTTCTGGAACATTTTACGGTCCAGAGGCTCTTTTAGAAATGAGCATATAACGTACGTAAAGAGGAGAGGGAATAAGAGTCGAGAAAATATCGAAGTGTGGGGAAAAATGGCCGCGCGACATGCGGAAAAATGCGGTGGATCAAAGGCTCCTTCCTTTCAGAGGCGTTCATTTAATCGAGCGAAAGACGCTCTCCTTTTCAAGCTTCTCAGAAACGAGAGAGATCGATCGAGTTTCATGCGTACCTTCTCAACCGAGTTGCTTAAGGCGAATTTACACTTTAACGTGCATCGTGAATAATTTATTTAATTTATATTAAACACTGTTTTCATTCAAAATGGATAAAATAGAATCAGTTTTCATTTTTGTATAGACAATGATTCATGATGTAGTCAGAAACAAGTGAACAGTAACGCTCTCTTTACTATCCTATTACTATATTTACCAATTCTCGAAGAAGGAACCTTGAAGTGAAACTTGACACCGATTTTTTGTTTCTTACACTCATTTCTTTTCTTTCGGTTGAATAAGCTTAAACTACGACGTTAAAGTATTATATTTGTTATATTTCGGTTTTTGGTTAAGAAATTTTTGAAAAATTTAACTTAGAAATGAATTCAATTATTAAATTGATGTAAAATATTTCAAATATTTGAAATTTGTAGAAATGAAAGCATATGCACAAGTGTAAACTCGTCTTTATTCTGCCACTTGTACAGAGAAAAAGTTAAGCAAATTACGACACGAGACGTCTTTTGTTCATTTTCTTATTAATTTTGACTTTTGTTTTACTGTACACTGGACAAGTAGAGAGAAAACACTTAGAGGTTAGGACTTTTAAACGATTAGCACCTTAGATGCCGTACTTGTACCTAAGAAGATGCAAGCGTATTTAGCATAACCTTAAGGTGAAAAAAAAAAATATAGAGGTTAAGGATTAACTCTAGGCTTCAATAGGGATAATAAGGCTCATTGTGACAGCAATCAGAGGTGCCCCGCGGTCGAAACAAGCACGTTTTTTTTCGATCGCACATCTCGCGTCTGTCGTGCACTTCTTGCGAATCTTAGTCTCGAGTCCTCGGTTCTGATTGGAGCGTGCGTGAGAGATGTGAATCGAATCAATAAGAGCGAAAGAAGAGAGAGAAGCAGAAACGTGTGACAGAGATTTGTACGAAAAATTATGACAACTTTGACAATTGTTAAAAACAATTGCATTTTATTAATCTGTTATTTATCAACTGAAATTAGTATCAACTATGTTGAATAAAACTTTTTTTTTTTTTTTTTTTTTTTAA